TAACACTGGTCACACAATTATCCACATAAAACCCAGTCATAAGCTTTTTAATTGTGTTTTTAGAATATGGATTATCATTACAACATTTCTCCAGGGCCTTTGTTAAATGAAACTCTATAGTGGCACCCAGAAGAAATGGACTACAATTGATTCCAAAAACAACCCTTTTGTGTCGAAATACAAATTCCTTTCCTTCATCGTTCACCCATAGGAACCTCAAAAAATCTCTGTCCTTTGAATGTATAGAAATTTGAAGAAAAGCCTTTCGAATATCCGACACAACTCCTACCCTTTGTTGTCTGAATCGTAATAGAACAGAAGGAATAAGTTCAATAAGATTAGGCCCTACCTCCAAACACTGATTTAAAGAAGGACAACCTTGTTCATGAGATGATGCGTCAAAGACTGGCCTAATTTTTGTGGTGTCACTATTATTTTTAATAACGGGCCTGTGAGGTAAATAATGCACACAATTATTCTCTTCTGGATTATTCACTATTTCAATCACACCCTCGCTCAACCACTCATTGAATATAAAGTTATACATTTCAAACAAATTAGACCTTTTCAACTTATTTAAAGTATTATCTAACCTTCTCCTAGCAACAACTAAATTATCTGAAATTAAAGGATGCTCGTTCAACCAAGGTAACATAACTTCATACCTGCCTTCGCTGTCACATCGTACAGTCTCATAGAAAAAATTCTTAGCCTCTTTGGCTGCCACCTCTCGTGTCATTTTTTCTACAGGGTCGGTTATCCCAATAACATCAAGCTCCCAGAGTTTCGCTACAGAAGAATTATTAACAAACAACGAAAATGTAATCATACTTGTACTAGAATTAGAAGCAACTGCCGGCACCTTACCCATAAGAGTCCAACCTAACAAAGTTTCAACTGCTACAAGACCACACTGTAACTGATATTTTCTCCCTGTATACAATTTGCCTACAATATCAGCTCCTAACAAAATCTCAATCGGTGTTGTCTTTCCGACATCGCTGAGTGAAATATTCATGTCACTGAGTTCCTCAATCCAAGGGCCGTCATAAATAGAAGAGACATCGGCACAAATTTTTGGTTGATCTAATGCATCAAATGAATAAGCGTAGGTTCCTTCACACGCAGTTACCTCGTACAATTTATGTCGTTGTTCAGAAGTGCTTCTACCGCCAAATAATGCGTGTACAATCTTTTCCGCTCCTTTAGGAGAAAAACCCATTTCTTGCGCGGTACTTTGTAAAATATATGTCCTTTGCGATCCAGTGTCAATAAGTGCCCTTACTTGTTTAGTACCATGTGCACTTCTTATGTTTATTCGCAGAGTTTGTAAAAAAACTGTGTATTATTCAAATTAGCAAGCGTCTGATCCTCAGTTATATTTTCTTCCGAACGGGTAGTACTTGAGGTCGATGTATCAATTTTATTAACAGGCAAATTAGGGCACATCAAAACAGCATGTGATTTACAACATAATATACAATTCAAACGTCCTCTACACTTTTTAGAAGAATGTCCTACTTTCAGACATCGAAAACATGCTTTCTTTTCTGACAATGTTCGACGTTTCTGCTCCATAGTAAATTTTTGTGCTTTAAAACAATTTGTACTGTCATGCTGCGCTTCACAAAATACACACCTGTAAACCTCATAGTTTACTAACCCAGCAGCGGTCGCTAAGGGCTGATCAGTTCCTTGCTTATGTAATTTTACAGTTTTCTTGGCAACGAGGTTATTAAATTTATATTTATTTTCAGTCGGTAAACCAAAACCTTCCGTTGCTAAATCAATTTTTTGTTCATTTTGAACTTCACTTTGTAAAAAGCTCATTAGCCCATCCAATCTTGTTTCTAAAGTTGTAACCTCTGCCGTTTCTGCGATATTTTCCATGGACCCGGAAACATAAGGCCTTAAAAACTGTGAAGATCTATGCCATAGTCGAATCATATCTTCTGGCAAACATGACTCGATAAGAGGATACAACATCGCCGCATACTTGTCAGCAGTTATGCCTAAGGTCTCAAGTGAACGAAGTTGACTTTCAATCATATCATAAAGAGCAGAAATATTACAAGAACTACTAGAAACTCGACTCAAAATTAACTTTAAGAGCTCTCTAATATAAACTTCAATCTGGAGATCCTCTCTGCCAAACCTAGACTGCAAACTCTGGATAATTTTTGAGTAATTGTCGGCTACTGCAGGAAAACTCTCCACTAATCGTCTGGCCTTACTAGACTCTACAGTGGCTTGTCTCAAATAAGCTATCTTATCAGTCAAATCAATTGATGGATCGTCATGCACTACTTTGAACTGTGACCAAAAAGGAAGCCAATCTTTCAAGTCTCCATTAAATTTCTTGAATTCGATTGGAGGTAATTTAAATTTGCGCTTACCTTTTATACTTGATGACTCTGAACTTACTGAACCTGTCTGTCATCACATTTGTACTTAAGTTCAAAGTACCTTGCACTATATTTATCTTTTGTCTCCATCTCACTGATTAATTCTTCTTCGGAAGCTTCTTCCAACATACTTTCAAGTACCGCACTTTCCACTTCACAAAGCTCATTGTACTTTACTTGTAAAAGTTCCCACTGTACGCTAATATTCTGCCAGGGTCGAATGTCCACCGGTTGAGCTAACAAACTGTCCAAAACAGTAGCAACTTTCGTAAATGCACTACGAAGAACCGTTCTGCGTTTTTTAACTGATTCCATTTTTTCGCTTAAAAAGGTTAACTTTGGCCGAGCCTCACGACAAAAACAAAATTATTCGCCGGAAAAAAGTTTGCACTAAAATAAACGAAAATAACTAACTTTTAAGCACACCCGTATATAAGTCCTGTCACGGTCGCCAAATGTTACGTTTGGAATGTCCTACGATTAATTATCGCAAGAGACTCCTGGTTCGAAAGAATACAAAATTAAATTTCTATTACAAAAATTACTTTCGTATTAAAATACACAAATGTGACTTTAAAAGTTTTATTCAGTTTCCTTCGGTTCGGTGGTATAAATTCGACTAAAAACTAACTCTAAACAAATTGAATATATTCTCATACCATATGAAATTCAATACCCTACATTCCCAGACGAAAGTCATTAAAATCAATTGCTCTCACAAGCCCTTAGCCGGAGAGACGATACGCTGATTACAAAAGGGGATTTTTAAAATAAACATATTACTTAAGTATTAACTCGACAATGGCAATACAGCTATTGATGCATATATGGTCTCGGGTGCTTGTATCGCACACAAAAGTAGATTATATACAAGTACCACAGTGCATGTAATGAATAAAAATTAAAAGGGCTAAATTTGCTAACGCTCTCAACGTGTTAATGAGGGGGAATGTGCATCGGAGTACATACTAGTCCACAGACTAAGGTACACGATGACAAGATAAAGATGACATCGTCATCATAATAGCTGTAACAATTTGGAAGATAAGTATCAGAGTTGTTTTCGGCCCTACTGGTCAGCTCCAGATAAGTTCTCTGCTTATTTTCCTCACAAACTCATGCCAAAAAGGTATAGTAAAGAAAAATATAAGTTTTTATATGTTTATTTAACTCATTATCATAAATAAATACATTGAAAAAAGCACACAAATCCGGACCCCTCTTCCTAAAGTGGATAGCCTTCTTCATCATCATCATCATCAATCAGTCAATCGCGTACACTGCTGGACATAGACCTCCGTCAGTTCTTTCCAGTGATCTCTACACAGGGCCGCTTGTAGCCAGTTTCTCACTACACGATCGGAGCATCTAGTAGGTGGTCGTCATGGCCTACTTTTATAGTTTCTAGACCTCATTGGTCCAGAACAAGTTTGTACAGGCAAAACACATTGGTTGTAAACCTCTCGCTTGAGACACGTGGGAATTGAACTTTTTAGAATATGGCTTAATTTACCAAATTTGTAGATAGAAATCCATTTTGAATTAAAATTTATACTAGACTTTTCTAATCGTTTCACGAGAAATGACTGTTATCTCTTCTATAATTCTGTCTTTTAGTTATTGGATAGCTTGTGGGCTATTAACATAAAGTTTGCTATTTAAACACCCCTATTTAAAATAATCGAAAGGTGTCAAATCCGAGGATCTCACTGGCCATTTCATAGCTTGTCTTCTTCCAATCTAACGATTTGGAAATGGATCATCGATAAACTCACGAACGCTTCGAAGATAATAAAGAGGTGCTCCATCTGGCTGAAAAAAAGTAATATATTTACGAGATGAGGATTTTTATCATCATGAAAAAGTCTAGCCAATTCTTAAAATAACTTAAATTCTAAGAATGCCCAGTATTCTTCACCGGTTATGGTTATATACCAAAAATAAATTCCAATAATGGTATTATTAATTTTATCTAAAGTAAGAAGAACCTTTTACAAAAAATCACTTTAAACGTTGAGATCCAGATAGAATTTTTCATAGATTTTGTAATAATTGTAATTTATAAAGTCAAGTCGGTCAAAAAGCAATTGATTAATTGAAAATAATTAATATTCATTAAAATACATCTATTCCTTGCTTATGAATTTTTACAGAAAATACAAATCAAGGTACCCTTGTTACTGCCTTTAAGCGTTTTAAAATTATTTACTAATGTTAGAAAAACGAATATTTTAGCATAGTAATTAATTTTAAATTTAGACACATCAAAATAACAAACTTACTAGAGAATTATGGCATACACGTGGGTTATATTATATTATTAAATCAAATATGCGAAAGAAACAACCTAATTTTTTTTTATTGGGTTAATGCCTCGACTAAAACAACCTAATTAAAACCAATCAATACCATAAAATCGTCAAATATATTAACAAAATATTAAATGTTTTGTTTAATAATAAACTCTAGCATAAATATGCCAATAAAATAAAAATATTTAATAACCTGATTTTACTATATAAAGCGTTTTTAATAAAAATAAGATTATTTGTACTACCTTCAGCTAGATTCGAATTCTCGAATTCGTTTGTAAAAATGAGTGTTTCTGGAACTGTATTAACAATGGACCCAAATAAAATATGGGTACATTTTGGAAAAAGTAAAGAAAACGTTATTAGAGATATAAATAATATCAAATATTGGATAAAAAGTAATAATTATTTTCCTGAAATTCCAGGTGAGTATTTTTTTATCTACTTACTATTTTTGTACTATTACAAATTTTCTACAGATTTAGTAATATTTCCCAAATACGTCGTAATCTAGTCTCTTCCTCTATACCGTAACGCAGTGTTCTGTTTATAGCTATTGTCCCCCTCATGTACTGTCTCTAACTGCTGTACTGCTCGGTCAGAGTGACCAATAAGCACTCTTGGCGCGCATTTCTCCGCTTTCCTTCCTTTTCCAATTTTGTCATTGATCCTTTCCTAAACTCTAGGGAGCCGATCACCACCTACATGCCATAGACTCTGTGGCTTTGTCTTTGTATCATACAAATTGGCTTTTGTACGAATATACGAATATCCTAGAGCAGTGCGTACCGTGTGGGAGACTATCATGTTATCCTCCAATACGACATGGCGCCCAACAATGGATTAAAATCCGAACCTGCGACCCAGTTCAAGCCAAAAGAACAGTTGGGAGCGCCACAGAGTGTTAGAAAACTATACCCTAATACTCCGCCATCGAGCTTTGCAGCAATCCTGATGCCTTCCGTGTACCAGCTGTCTCAACGACCCAGCCTTCTTCAACGCTTGAAGTCCCGCAAGCTACGGAGATTCTGGAGTAGCCACAGTCCCTGCCTGCAGCGTCATCACGAGGGCCCGGACAAACTCGCTTACGAGACCCCAGGAGAAGCGGATGGGAACCTGATTGCAGAGAAGAAGACGAAACCGCTGGGAGGAATGGTGCACCAACCGGCTCACATCGCCTCGCTTTCCTTCCTTTTTCAATTTTTTCATTGATCTTTTGGTTTCAAATCTTGTAAAATATTATGTATAAATATTATTTGTTTTTTAAGCCAAAGACAGTTCACCTCGCAAATTAATATATCTTGTTATTCGTACTGGGTTAGTTCTATACAAAAAAAACATGAGAGAACCAAAACTGTTCTAAGCAAAGAAAAGAAATATGATAGTTACTCCTAAAGAATTTCACATCAGCGCTTGTGAAATTTCACGTCAAAATGACAGTATTCAAATTTCGGCGGAATAAATCCTTCGTAAACATAAACTGCATCCTTACCGCATATAGTTACATCAAGCATTGACAGTCGATGATTATCAACGCAGATTATCTTTTTGTCAATGGTCTCAGCAGTAAAAACGGAACAGTGAATCGGCATAATTTTCATTACTATTCATCAAGCAATCCCTATTTTATTAACAGATGTGGTTTTTACACGACAGCACTCCAGTTCACCACACTGTTTCTATTCATAATCATACAAATCATAACTTTCCTGAGAGGTGGATAGGCATTGAACCAACTGTTTGGCCACCGAGATCACCGGAATTCTCCAAAATTTATTTTTTTGTGTGGTGCTATATAAAAGACCAGATAATATGAAAAGTTGAATAAGAGAAGCTTTTAATAAAATTTCAATTCGGATGGTCCATGTGGACCTTCCGAATTTGAATTTGTAGTAGTACTACCAGAAGAGAAGGCCATACTTGCGAAAAGTACAAAGAAGTACAAGGGAATTCTGTATCATGTATTTTATATTATAGTATACAATGCCTACTAAACCATAATGAATGGCATTAGAGACCTTACTTTTTTCAAAAATGTGTTAATTAATTTGTTTTAAATTAATTTACAGATGATATTATGATTCAATATTTTTTGACGATCTGTAACTTTAGTATTGAAAGAGCAAAACAATGTCTGGATATGTATTATGCAGTTAGAATAGTTATTCCAGAACTTTATACCAATACAAGCCCAACATCTAGCGGTATGGAGGCAGCGTACGAGCAAATGTAAGTATACTTTCTTTTTGTGTAATAGACTTTCCTCATCCATCCAACTTCAACTGATTTTTTGATCAGACCTTTTTACTTGCATCTAACTCCTATTTTTATAAATAATACTGGGGAACACATTTTTTGTTGAGTTGTTGAGTGAAATTATGCCTATAAAGAAACATAAAATAAAAACATATCAAATCTGCAGCTTACAAAACGTTTAGTGAAAGTTAAATCGAGTTTATACAAATAAAATTGTTCAATTAATGAACAGTACTTACAAATTAGGACAAAAAGTTTTGGTTATAGCTTTTTTTATAGCTCCAACAATGGTCAGCGTTCATATTTACTTCCCATCTACCTTAATACCGTGCATCCATGACCTTCAAATCTTGAAGCTTAAACTCGGAAACGCTCACTTTGCTCATCACTTACCGCACAAAGATTGTCTGGGAAATTAGCAAGGTGGCAATGTAAAGAGTGACCTTTAATGCTCATGTTGCAACCTAGCCTCTGGAAGCTCTCCAAGAGTTGCTGGACAATGTCGGCGTAATTCAATGCTCGAGTATTGCTAAGAAAGTTTTTAACAATATTTTTGAGTGCCAACCACGCATTCTTTTCAATTTCTGACATTATTACCACAACATGTTCATCTGCACGAAGTTGCCGAATCTGTGGACCATCAAAAACACCGGCCTTTATCTTTTCAAATTACAGACTAAAAAATTTCGACACGAAATACTTGAAAAAGTCTCTTTTAGTTGGCAAAGCTTTAACAAATTATTTCGTAAGACTCAATTTTATATGCAAAGGTAGAAATATAATATTCTTTCTGTTGACAAGTCGCTGATGTACAATGTTTGAATTACCGGGTCTCAGGTCCAGTCTTGGCGGCCAATTCGACTGCTATCCCACATACTCTAAAAGCAGGGATACTTTGTCTATAAACCTTGTTGACCAAGTAGGAAGCAGACCATTTTAAAGTCAACACAAATAATCCATTGGAGCATGTAAATTGCAACAGATCAATTACTTCCTTTATGTAGTCATATTCAATTGGAACTGAACGAAATAGATTTCCATTGTGAAGGAGAACACACTTCAATTTCCACTTTGAGCTATCAATAAACCGTTGCTAGTCAGTTACGTTATAGTTTAAAAATCCCAGTTCTTCCCAGCCCCCCAACAGACATGCCTAATCTAACACAACAGAAATTGAGTTTCAAAGTGTTCCCCAATCTAATTTTTATTGGTATCTCCATATTGAAATATTGACATTTGACTGAAAAACGGACTTTGTCATAAAAGTTGATCATATTGAGCATTGGTCAATTGAAATATATTGACTGACCATCACAACATTCGTTGTAAGCTAACTACCCAATAAGAATTCACTATCTATAAAGGTGTAAACCATATTTTTGAAGTTTAAAGGGTTTTCAGTTAACTGTATCTTTCAGGCATTGTTGCCCGTTACCTGATCTTACTCAAAATTTAGAAAGAATCATAATAGCAAAAATGAATGATGTAGAAGTAGATATGTTTAATGTACATAAAGCAACAGCTTTGGCGTATGTTAATATGTTTGAAGTGTTAATGTGGGAAGACCTTTGCTTGGGAAAGAAAGTTATTATAGATTTTAAAAGTATAACAATCAACCAAGCTTTAGCAATGGGACCCAAAGATATTAGAAAGGTCGGATTTATTTTGGAGGTAAGTAAATATTTGTAAATATCAATTATTTACGATGTTTTTGCTTATTTTTAAATATTAAACAAAAAAAAAACTATTTTATTTATGGTCATAGTTTGTTCTATTTATTATTAAGGTTTTGCACTTTAAGCTCTTTTTCACCACTGCAGGGAGCGTCTTCCAAAAATGGCATTTTAATTTGGGAGACACTTTTCTGTCTACCTGTAACCTGTTTTTTGTTTTAATTTCAACCAAATTATATTCGTGTGACTTGAAACTAATTAATAAACTATTAAAAAGGTAATTTTTATAATATTGAATGTAGCTAATGCTGAAAAAGAAGAAGAAAGATAATATTTATTGCCGAAATAATCATTATCCAAACGGCTTGATAATTCGTTCACAAAGAACCTGGTCTGCTCACAAAGAAGTCTCAACTCCTGTCGATTCCTGGCAACTTCCCTCCATGTTCTTCCACACCATCAATCCATCTCATTCGTGATTGTCCTCTGCTTCTTGTGCCCTCTGGTTTTAAAACTGTTAATCTCTTCGTGTATTCGCGATCTGACATCCTAGCAATGTGTCCAGACCATCTAAATCTCTGCACTTAGATGGGCTGGACACGAATTTACTACCGACTCAAGATATATGAACTCCTTGACTTGCTCAAAGGTATTGTTATAGTTTATTCGTCTTCCGGGTTTGGACCGTGTCATTTGTGAGTGACCCAAAAGTGGGTTCATCTCGACGTTTCGCTACAATTGTATGTAGCTTCTCCAGGAGAACAAAGAAAAAGAAATCAAAAGACAGGAAGATGGGTAGTTAGCAACGGTAACTCAGTTACTCAACGCAACCATAGGCGAATACTAACTACCAAGATGGGCATTTGGTCACAGTAACTCAACTACTTAACGCAGCCAGAGGTGAAAACCAAATGCCAGGACAGGGATTCACGTCCAACAGCTCAGAACACTAACGCGTCGAGAGGCGGGGAGTGAATCCGACGATTACTCCGCTGCCGCTCTATTTATAGTCGCGGTGACCTGTCGTGTCGGGACGCATCGGCACACTCCGTGGCGCGAACGTCAAGAAGCGCGCGCTGGCCAATCATGTGGCTGCATCATGGTAGCGGTACCGGACGGCGGCTCTAGACTGAGATTCCAGATGGGAGACAAGTAGTATCCTTCCTCTCAATTGATATTATGTGAATATTTTCGGATCTCTAGAGATTCGCGGATTTTCCTGGAATAAAAGGAGGGGCTTTTAGAAATAATATGGGTTTTTTCGAACAATATGGAATGACCGGTATCTTGGCAGTGTTTTGAAACTGCAGAATGGGAGAAAAGACCTGATCGAATGCATCTTTGATGCTCTTGAATCCGAGTTTTGACGGAACGACCAGTTTCGCCAATTTTCACATCAATACTCGGATTCAAGAGCATCAAAGATGCATTCGATCAGGTCTTTTCTCATCAATCGAGAGGAAGGATACTACTTGTCTCCCATCTGGAATCTCAGTCTAGAGCCGCCGTCCGGTCCCGCTACCACGATGCAGCCACATGATTGGCCAGCGCGCGCTTCTTGACGTTCGCGCCACGGAGTGTGCCGATACGTCCCGACACGACAGGTCACCGCGACTATAAATAGAGCGGCAGCGGAGTAATCGTTGGATTCTCTCCCCGCTTCTCGACGCGTTAGTGTTCTTAGCTGTTGGACGTGAATCCCTGTCCTGGCATTTGGTTTTCACCTCTGGCTGCGTTGAGTAGTTGAGTTACTGTGACCAAATGCCCATCTTGGTAGTTATTATTCGCCTCTGGTTGCGTTGAGTAACTGAGTTACCGTTGCTAACTACCCATCTTCCTGTCTTGTGATTTCTTTTTGTTTGTTCTCCTGAAGAAGCTACATACAATTGTAGCGAAACGTCGAGATGAACCCACTTTTGGGTCACTCACAAATGACACGGTCCAAACCCGGAAGACGAATAAACTATAATTCTGACTCTGGCCGTGGAAGCCTACGATTTCAAAGGTATTGTTGTTAATTTGAATCCTCTGTTGGATATTTCGGGGTTTCAGTCCTAAGTCATAATTAACTTGCCGCCTCGGCAAGCCTTGTAAAACACTGCATCATGTCTCTCATACTTCTGCCCACTATAACTGTATCGTCAGCTAACGCGAGAATTTTCGTCGACCTATTAAAAATAGTTCCATTTATTCTAATATTTAATTGTCTGATTGCCTTTTATAACGCAATATTAAAGAAGGGATACTTCCTGGTCTTAGACCATTATTAATGTCAAAGAACGTACAGTTTTCTCTTTCAATTCTAACGCATAAGCTTACATTTTGCATTGTTAGTTGGTTAAACTTAACCAACTTAGGTGGGATCTTAAAGTCTATCATTGCATTATATAATGCAGTTCTTTTCACACTGTCATAGGATGCTTTGAAGTCGACGAAGAGATTGTGTGTATCTGTTAAATTCTAATTATTTTTATAAAATCTGTCTATGTGCTTAAATTTTATGTGTAGTTGACTTTCCTGCAGTAAATACACATTGATATTGACCAACAATATCCTTTGTAGAATTTTTAGGTCTTTCAAACAATACATTGCCGAAGATTTTATACGCAGATGCTAACAGAGTAATGCATTTATAGTTCTTACACTCCAGTTAATCATCCTTTTTATGCAACGGATATATTATTTCCTTTAGCCACTCCTCTGATACTAATTCATTTTGCCATGTAACTGCTATTAGTTTGTGAATTGCTGCAAAAAGTTGATCATCACTTTTTTATTTATTTTTAAACATATTTTATCGATTTCTGGGGCTTTGTTGCCTTTGAGTTTTAGAATGTCATTTGACACTGCTTTTCTGGTTTTTTAAACTATTTAAACTATATAGTGAGTCTTCACTATATAGTTTACGTTTTCGATTTTGTTGATTTTCTATGTTGTTCTCGAAACAAACTAAAATTTAAAATGAGCTGTACTTAGTTGCTTATTACTATTTAAATCAATGAAATACACTTTGCATGTTTCATCATGTTTTCATATATTTTCATAACAATAAAAGTTAGTATGTTTCAGAAAGTTTGGAATTTACATCTTAAAGAGTTTCACTTCATAAATGTACCTACCTATGCGGAAAAATTAGTTCAAATTTGTAAAGTAGTATTAACAAAAGCTTTGGGCGAAAAAGTAAGTAAATATTTTAGTTATAAGATATAGTTTCGAATTTTTCCATGACGAATATGTAACCTAAAGATGTAGAGTGTCAGACTCAATAATTACCTTTCTCATGTTCTATTCTTAATGTATTAATGGACACAACATACTCCAGGAGTATGAGATAAAAGCAATACAATGTAAGGACCCATTTTTAGACCCAGGTTTTTCCCATTTTTCAATCGCAAATTATTTCCAGAGCGTACTCTGGAAATAATTTGCGATGATAGTTTACCTGAGGCTTTACAGACATTACCAAATATCATAATCTTTCTTTTCTTCTTCTTCCTCTTTATAAGCAATTCTGCTTGTTCATTGGCGGATTAATACCTTAATGAAAAGTTGTGACTTACGGTCTCCTCCATTCTATTCCATTCTTTTTTTCTATTCTGTGTCCATTCATTTATTCGATGGTTTGTAGAGCAGCTGGATGAGTAGGAAACAATGACTTACTCACCACTTAGATATTTTAAGATCTACGCTACTCTAAAAACTAGGTTTCCAGGAATCTGGAAGGGTGTACAGCCGTAAAGAAGTTTGATAACCCGACTGGCTAGTAACTGCACTGGTGCGCTGAATCAAGGATCCCACAGGGACTGGCCAAAGCTTCACTACCAATCGGGTATACCCTGTGCAATTAGCAATCACAATTCGCCAAATCAGAGTACGAGCTCTTAAAAGTACTCGTATTTCTAATCCAACTAATATGAATTTCCAGATCTACCAACGAGAAGGTTTGTACTAGGATGATTTTATGTGGTAAGGATGAAACACGAAGTTCACCCAAATGCAAATAAAAGTGAAGGTCACTTAAAAGGAGGTTTGGATAACTCGAGTCGCACACTTTTCAGATAATTACTGTAAAATAATAATAGGAATGGGAGCGTTATGTGAAGGTAAGGAAAACGCTGTCACCAAATGAAATACACAATAGATCCTCAAGGGATGCTAACCCTGCGAGCGGCTGCAAGGAATACTGGTCACACTGGTCTGGAGGGCTGGCTCGTCTTCGTGGATTTACGAGAAGATAAGGGATTTCGGGATAGGGGTAAGGACTCCTAGGTCTCAGGTCCTGTCAAGAGCAGAGGTTATGGGCTTACTTTTGAAGCCGGAGATATGCATACGCAGAATCTCGTGTTCTCCTAGTCTCTAGAGAGTCGGACGAAAGGAACATAAAAAACTAATTTAGAGTCAACAATATATTGAATCTACCCTAAAGTTACAATTACAATCGTTAACACGTTATTCTGCGCGTCGGGAGACGATGAACAAGATAGTGAAAAGTTGACAGTGGTACTAATATAATTACTCAGGTAAGTATATAGAAATCTGTTACCTTATTTGGGCTTTCAACCACGACACGTTCAGTCCTCTGGAACTCGGTCAGTTGAGGGTCTCCCCTATGTTGCGAACTTACGAGCTGCCACAATAACCGGACTACACGCGATACTATGCCGGATGATACGCGTCCCCCGGAGAATTACCGACTGTCTCGTACTGATCGCGTACGGGACGCTATCGCGTCCAGTCACGGTGGCCCGCTATTACTGACTGCCCATTACTACCTACTTCGTACCCGACGCTACCGCGTCGAAAGTACCCGGAGCAGGCAATTGATGCCTTCACGGCTACCGCCGTATCACTACTGACCCACTGGCGTCCTTAGTTCGGTTTTTATCAAATGGTGTCCTCATTGACCGGCTGTAGTCCAAGGTTGCTGAATTGTAGTTTTGGCGTTATTGCTCCTATTTGGGTCACGGGTGTTGTTATTTTTTTACAACAATAGTTTCGTGCGTTTTATACGTTTAAACAATTATCAAACAATGCAATAACTAGGTCAATTTCTTTGTGTGATTTAAAATGCAAATTTTACTGTAATAATTATCCCTTATTTGATTTGGAATAAATAATAATTATCTCGAATAATTATTATCTTTTTCTATGCTACTTCCTTTATTCCAACTTCTCACTCACTTGCTACGCTCACATTACATTACATCTGGCGAACGACGGGCTAAGCAAAACCACAATTTCAGAGCCATTTACAGCCATATACATTGTACTTTACATTTTTTTTAATGTCTTCGCTTCTCTTTCGATCTCTCAGCGTATTTCCTCTCAGCGATTTTTTCTCAGTACTCTCATCTGATGTTTCCAGTAGCCTTTGCGTTGTGGCTGGTGTTGGGTCTTATTTCTGAGGCATGTGGCAATATTAATCTTACACTGGCTTTATAAATTGTTGACTTCATCTCAATGTTTTTGTTTCGCTATATAGTGTTATTAAGGCATTCTGCCAGTCTATCTGCTTTTTGTACTTGATCTCTCACTTCTTTATCCAGGTCTCCATAGCTAGACAGTGTTCATTTGAAATCTTGTCTTTGATTATTCGGAGGAGACATGAACATTTTTATTAGGAGGTAAGTATTGTTTTTATTCCTCTTAATTTAAGAATTTTGTTGATTTTGTCAGTACACTCCTCTAATGTAAGGAAGGAAAGCTTTCCTATGATGAGAATCTAAGTCGTTGGGTTGAGATTGAGTAGGATATTGATGTATGTGGATGCTCCTATTGACGTGATTTTTACGGTAACGGAAGGCATTTCTACCATGGGACAAAATAACGAATATATCGTCAACATATCGTAGCAACATGTGAGTTTAAGCATTGATGTGAATAGAGTTCGGGTCTCGAAGACTTCCATAAAGTTATTGGTAATTACTGGAGATAGTGTGAAGACCATTGGAGCACCATTTATTTGTCTGTACCACAGACTCTGTAGAATTGATTTTGGAAGAAGAAATAAGTGTTGGACATACAATGTTTAATGAGAGATAAATGGTCTTGCTGGAGACTGTATTTAGTTTTCAGAATTAGAGTTTCGTCTATTGAAATGTTTGTAAAGACTGAAACGATATGGAAACTGACTAGAATGTTTGACAGCGAGATATGGTATTGTTTAAGAAGTTCGATGAAATGAAAAGAATTTTTGACGGAGGTTAAAGCATACTCGGCGAGAGGTTGTAGAGTTTTGGTCAATGGTTGTCTTTTCACGAGAAATTAGAGACTCTTTGATGTCAACAGGAAGAAAGGTGTTATTGATAATGGCTAATATATATGTATGCAAAATTATTGTTATTTAATACAAAAATAGAATATAAGGTTTTTTTAGATTTTTATTCATAAATCAATTGAAGATGTGTACAAGTTTATTCCAAGAGAAATTTTACCAAAAGAATATGGAGGTACTCAAAAGTCGTTATCAGAACTTAATGGTAAGTATGGAGTAACACATTTAAATTACCACACAATTTTAAACTAAACTGTTCCATTAACATGAGAATTATTTCCTTTTTTATTTGAATTTTTGCTGTTGGTAATGTTTTGTTTGTGCTGTTTGGGATTTAGAAACAACAGTAGTTTATTCTATTTTACAATATAGGTATAAACACTCTTAAAGACCCTTGAATATTAAAGAAAGCTCTAATATTGTGTACTCTTTACCCTGTAATAATTGTAACAAAATATATATTGGAGAAACGTCCAGAAATTTTTTCCAAAGATTAACATCGCACAAAAGCGACATTAATCTGAATAAAGTACACGTATCTGAATAATGCACACGATGGGTCACACTCCAACAATAACCAAGTAAAAATATTGGCAAGGGAAAAAAATTGGCAAGCAAATAACCGTTTTTAGAAATGTCTTTAATTCAAACTACATAAAAAAGCTTTGAACAAAAGTGCGAACATGAGAATTTTTAAGTACTACTTGAAACAGCCAGAATAAACAGTGCACTAAAAATTAAAAATTGGAGGAGTTATTTCAAGTTTAAATGAAATCAAGTGTTTTTTTTTGGTTTCGTTGTTGCTTTCTTCATTAGTAAGAAAAACTTAGTTGCTTGTTTGTAAATACTGAGAGAGAGAGAGAGAGAGAGAGAGAGAGAGAGAGAGAGAGAGAGAGAGAGAGTAATTTGAACAGCTATAGCTTATAAAATATGCCAAAGCTGACGATGAAGGTTGCATAAGTATAGGAGCAGGTACAAATAGGTTAAAGAAGGGTTCTACTTTATTTTCTTTTTTTTTGATATGAGTTATCTTCTTGTGTTCTAATGTTAAACTAACCCTTCATGTATTTAGTGAAAACATAAGAGATATAGACAGTATAGTATATTATAGTATATTATATAGTATATTCTGCTAGTTTTATAAGAACATTCTTTAATATTAAAATGAAAGTTTTCTCTCCCACACCCGTATTATTTTTCTTCTTCTTTTTACTACTTTGTTGATAGGCTTGCGCTTGTTTTATCATCAAATTCATTATTATAGACGTTTATTTTTTCACTCGACCTTTTTGCAACTTATTGTATGATCAAACTTTCTATTAATGTGACTCTACCAGTTATTTTTTTGTTGTTATATTTATATCGGAATTTCTTGATTCCTTTTTATGGAAATACTCTATTTATCATCATCATCATTATCATTATCATTTCACTCTACAACTTTATGTGAGTTTTGGCCGCGTTTACTATTTCCTTCCATTGTTGTCGGTCCTGACCAGCTATTTCCCATTGCTGTATTCCCATTTTACGTATGGATATACTCCCAGGTACTTAAATTCTTTTCAAAGTTGTATTTATTGATTGTTACGTTTTGTCTAACCCTTGGCTCGTTAGTTACCCTCGTAACCATCATGTATTGGTCTTGTTCTCGTTGGCCTTCAGACCAACTTCCTTGGCTCCGTTTTCGAATAGGGTAAAAACTTCTTTTTGCATCTCTGGTGGATTGTGCAATTTTTGATCCTTGGGCGGCAAATCCGTTTGTCAGTTGTGGTTGAGCTTTCTTTGCCGCATGTTCTAGTGCAAAATTAAATAGCAGAAGGGCGAGAGGATCTTCTTCTCTAAGCCCGGTGTCAATGAGGAATTCCTCCGACGTGGTGCTGCCAATTCTGATCCGTGTGCAAGTGTTCTCTGTGCTCACCTGTGCTAATCGTACCATCTTTCCAGGTACTTCCATTTGTATCATGGTCTCCCACAATGCATCTCTGATAACAGAATCGTAAGCTTGTTTAAAGTCCACGAAGATTTATTGTATGGTCGATCTTCCCGGTCTGAATCCGCTTTGGTAGTCGCCTAATATTCTTCCCCTTCTTGTGGATAGGTAGTATATGGCTTTCATGCTAATGTTTTGGTATTTCTTCTCTTCCCCAGACTTCTCTTATAAGATGATATATCTCAAGGTGAAGCTATTCTGCCCCTTTTTTTAATAGTTCCGCATGTATGACGTCTGGGCCTGGGGCTTTATGGCTTTTTAGGGACGAAATTGCGGACTTTATTTTAGCTAGTTTGGGCCCTGATATTTCAGGTTTGGCTAACTGTTACTGTCTTTGTTGGCTGTCGTTGTGGGTCTTTCTGTATATAAGTGTTGCTGAAAATCCTTTCTCCATTGACAGCTTATCTCGTCATCGTCTGTGAGGGCAATTGTTTTGCATTGTCTGTATAAATCTTGGGCAGTTGGTCGTGTTACCCTTTTTTGTTTTTAGGTCTTTATAAAACTGTCCAGACTGACCGGTTCTATGTTTCTCTTCCAGTTGCTGTATTCGCGTTTCTAGGTACTGTTTCTTTTTTCTTCTCAAAAGTCTTCTCGTTTGAGTGCTTACTCTGTTGTAGTCTTTCCTGTTCTCATCTGTAGGGCGTGTTAGTAACTATAGTCTCTTGATTTCTTTCTGATGCAAGCAACTCTATATATTATGAAATATTTACCTTTACGAAATATGAAATCCTTTTTGTCAGTAATCGGCAAGATTTGAACATGATTTGTCTAGTAAGACTTTATTTACATAGCTTTAAGCTTCAATTTACAGATAGCATATCGTCTATCACAAAGTTCAGACAGTACACATATTAAACTATGAGTTCACGATTTTTTAATGGTCGTCTTATTACCTTAACCTTATATTTTTTGCGTATATCTAACAGCTTTGATAATTTTTAGATGCATGGTTAAAAAAATTAAGACAATATAAAGACCGCTTTGCAGCACTTGAAAATATGGATATAATCAACGCTAATAGACCGGAATTTGGTAGCAACAACCTTTCTGAATATTATGGGAATTATATGAAAATCGACGTGGAATAACTCGTTTACCTATATTATCGAAATAACATTATTATAATCGTAATAAATTAATATTATTATTTTTTAAGAAGTTAATATAGCATTAAGCTTAATACAGTTCCTTTTTACGACCACTACTAATAATATTGTATATTGTCATACGAATCCAATGTTAGTGTTAAAATAAAAAGTAAATATTGTAAACATATTGTCTGATTCATTCTATTCTCGTATATACACTCATTTATAAAGGACTAAGGTATCACCAAATGGAAAGGAAGGACCTGGAAAACTATGACCACTTATTCATTTCCACGGTTCCTTACAGAGGGACTTTAACCAATCCATTCAAATTGCTCTCTCCGTATGTTCCATGTTGGGTGGAATATTGGTATTTTCTCACATGAAGTACCAGTTCGAAGAACCGGAAAAAAGCTCCGACAATGGACTCCCAGGGTACAAGAGGTACTCCCTATATGGGAGTCAAAATTAGACTGGCCTTGAATTGTAAATGTCATATTTATATGTTTCTATATGCATTTTTAGATCAGTTGGCTAATAGCAGAAATCGTAGAAGTCTTGAGGCGGAGCGACATGCATCGAGGTGCGTATTAGTCCATAACTAAGGCCCCTGGTGACAAAGGAGCGAGACCTACTTTAGTTGAAGTAGTGGTATTTAATCTTTTATTGCCTATTCTATACCAAAAATAAAAGACATCCGTTGAACGAAGAGAATAATTGTTGAATAGCGACCAAGAGCAATTAAGAGGAGTAGGGCATACCTGATACCAGATAGACATATGACCTCATGCGAATGGCTTGTTACGAATGGATGCAAAGAACAACGACAGAAATAAATGAGAATAAAATTTACAAAATTACACTCGAGCAGCAGAGTATTCAATTGTTAAATGGAGTATTACTGTAATGTTAAATAAAGGTGGATTTTATAATGTTGGTTGATTCATAAGTGAAGAGCGGAATACATAAAATTAATAAATTGCATATTATTGCTCATTTCCAAAAAATTGCATATTTAGGATAAACTCGATTAAGAGTATTAGATCTGTCTCTGTTAATTAGACAGGGCAATTAAGCTATCTACCCCACAATACAATTACAAAAATCTAAAAAAAAGTTAAAGATATCTCGGAAAAAATATTTATTCACCAGAATTTTATAACCATCTGATTAAAAAAAGAAGTTTCATGATCAAAAATCAATCTAATTTCAATTAAAAACAAACCCAAATCATACCTAGCAATAATCATAGTAATATTACTTAATCAAACAAACATTATATATCTTTACCATGCATTAAGGGATTCTCTGAAAAAATGTTAAAAATTTTGGCAAAATATGATGTTGGCAGAATTTGGAAACACTTTTGAATCTAAAAATAAAACACAAAAGCGCAAATTAGCGCATCTAATTGTTAAACAAATTCCAAAGACAACAACGAAAAACGTTGAAACCCTCTATAGTGGTTCGTAACTTTTCTGATACTCCCATTTCGACCATTACCACTAAGATTTAGCAAAAGGTTTCAATTACTTTGTTACCCTAAGTCACATTCCAATCATCTGTCAACTATTTTCCGAAGATACTAAAATAACTAGAAGAGACATCGCCAGAGTTCTTTAGTTAGTAAACTAAAAGCTTTCTACTCCAAAAATTACCCAATCCCAAAAAAAAACCCTGACAAAACTTTAGTAAAATCCAAATCAAGTCATTCTTCTCGCCTATAAAGGCAATGCCAACGTTAGCCTAAATAATTCTTCTTATATTAATAAACTTTTTAATTTCATTAATACTCTAGACTACAGACCAATTTCTAATAATCCAACAACCTATATGGAGAAAACAACAAAAGCCGTTATCAATAAAACCTCTTCAGTTGACATAAATCAATCTCTAATTTACCGTAAAAAGTCTCTAAGAACACCTCGAATACATGGCCTACTCAAAATTCATAACTTCGATATTCCTTTACGTCCCATTATCAGTGCATACAATGCCCTTCACAACCCTACACAATCATTGGACAAGTACTTGGCCAAAACTCTACAACCTCTCGCCGAAAATGCTTCATCCTTCGTCACAAATTCTTTTCATTTTATCATTTCTTTTCGTAACTTCTCAAACAATACCCTATCTCACCATCAGACATTCTAGTAAGTTTCGATATCGTTTCACTCTTTACAAATATTCCTAGAGACGAAACTTTAAACATTCTGAAAACTAAACCCCATATCCAGCAAAACCACTGATCTCTTATTAAACATTGTATGTCCAACACTTACTTACTTTCATCTCTCAAAATTAATTCTACAGACAAATAAATGGTGCTCCAATGGACTCCTCACTATCTCCAGTAATTGCCAATATGTTTATATTGTAAATAACTTTATGGAAGACTTCGACACCCGAGCACTATCCACATCAACGCTTAAACCCTTGAGTACGATATGTTGACAATACATTCGTCATTTGGCCCCATGGCAGGTCCACTCTATTTATCGAAAATTCATAGCAATCGTTACTTGTACGCCAACTCTCACCATATACCGTCACAAATTAATTCTCAATCTCCTGCTTGAAACTTGAAAGCTTTTTTGCTTACATAAAATCGATAAAATTAAAATCAAGAGGAATAAAGACAAAATTCTTCTCAAACAAAAACTTTCGTCTCTTGTCCGATCAATCAAAAACAACATTTCAAATGAACACAGAGTTTATGAAATTCCTTGTGCAGACTGTCCCCGATCTTATATAGGCCAAACAAATCAGAGAATCCAAAATAGGGTTTATGAACATTACATTTCTGTTCGCAATTCCGACTCAATTTTAGTTCTAGGTCAACACCATCTTCATACAGGTCACAAAATTGATCTTGAAAACTGCAGAACCATAGCCTCAAACCGCTTCTATAAATCACGAAGTATAAGAGAAGTCATAAAAATTGAAAAAAGGCCACTTGAAGACCTCTCATAACATGAATTACACATGAAAAATACATAATTTGCAACATAAATTGTTGTTTTCATTTTGAACAAAAATTAACTAGCCTAGGTAGCGGTGATCATATAAATGTTTTAAATATTATTTATGATTAAAAAAAATTGTTTTTCGAATTCTGCTAAAAAAATTAAAAACGTCAAATTATATTAGATATATAAAAAATTATATTTAACGTTTATTGCTCTTTCATTTTTTTACATTTTTTTAATTGATTTATTCTTTGAAAATTAAACCAAAATATTTACTTTTGATTAAGATGATATCCTTGAATATTTAATTACTATTTAAAGCTTAAGTGATGGGACAGAATTCAAGAAATAAATATTGAAAGAAATCTTTAGAATTTTTATCGGATATATTAACAATGTTCGTCAATACAGATCCTGAACGGACTTTTAAACATTTTGGAAAAAACAAAAAAAGTGTGGAACAGGATGTTAGGATTATTAGTGATTGGCTGAAAACTCAGGGTCATTTGCCTGAAAAAGCAGGTAGGCAAATATTTTAACTATTTATTAACATCCTATGCTTATATGCACTATGAATCAAACGCAATCCTTTTCGCTAAGTAGTTAGACAATTTTCTTTTATTTTGTTAATTAAACTTAAATATTTACAACAAAATTACTGACGACGATACAATTTGTAACAATTGTTGTTTTTACTTAATCATAAGTCTATGTTACATTTTCCATGAGCATTTATTCGCTATGAGTATTTCTTTCTTTCGATACCCCGTTTTCCTTCTATCTTCACTTCCGTAATAAGTTTTAAGAACTGGTACTTGGAATTTTGAAATATATGACCCAGATAAGCAGTTTGTCTTCTTTTTATTATTGGCAGCAATTCTCGTTGTCTGCCCATTCGATTTAATACTTCGACATTTGTTGTGTAATCTGTCCAGGAAATTTTAAGAAGTTTTCTAAACGCCCCCATTTTAAAGGCCTACAATCGGTTCATCACAATGACCTTTATGGTTTAGGTTTCTACACCATATAGCGGTATGGAGTAAATGTAACATTTTACAAAGCAATATCGAAGCGTTAAGTAAAGGCTGCTTTTGCTTAGCAAGGTTCTCATATTAGTAAATGCAATTATGGCTTGCTCAATCCTGCTGCGTACCTCTATGTCTTGATCTAGATCTTCAGTTATCCAACTACCGAGATATCTGAACTTGGGGACCTTCTGGATGTTCTTATTGTTAATTAATATTTAACTGGGAATAAGCCACAATTAAAGATAAAAATACGTTTATTGACGTTTTAATTTCCACTTCGGAAATCGTTCTCAAAATCCAAACAGTAAATTAAACAAGTTTTTCGTTACATTGTGAAAAATACTTATAATTTAATTTTATCTGACTCATTTATATTGACAATTCAGACATACATTATGCATTTTAAAGTAGACGACTTTAAAATGATATTGCCAATATTGTTGAGTTGCGCTCCTGGGACCACTTTACTTATAAGATAGTTCATTTGATTACATGAAATCAACTTTAACTTGAGAATATCCGTCAGAAAAAAATCATAGCATGTAATTCGTCTTTAAAAAGACAAACACATGACATGATGACAGTAAAATTCTCCTGTTAGTGATTCCATAGTAAATTATGAGGGAAAAACCAGGAAAAAAACCTCATAATACTATCCCGACATTGTAAGTATTTGTTCGTGACCTTCAACAAACATCAAAATTCTGATTTTATATGTTTTGTTATTTAAAAAATCCTCTGTATGTTACTCACTTACTAATACTGGTATTTTCTTATTAATAACTTCCTCTTTCAATATTGGTAACCAGATCCTACTACATTCTGCCGAGGAATTTGTGACCCAATTGGCCTCATTTAGTATAATTAGAGCCGCTTCTTTGATTTTTCTTTCTTTACCATCCGTTTCTTTTAGGACTACATTTGAAGTATTCCATTAAACCCTATGTTCATTATCTCATGCGTGTTTACATATTTGTGATCTATCAAATTCTCTATTTTTAAT